AGCGCGGGCTCAGGCAATTCACTCACCTCAGCCTCCCAAAGGCGCAGGATTACAGGCTGAGCCACCGAGCCCGGCCCATTTTTTAATAGACTGTTTTTTTCCTTTTGGCTCATTTGAGTTCCTTAGATCCTGGATTTTAGGCCTTTGTCAGATACACAATTAGCATATTTTTTCCCCATTTTGTGGGCTGTCTTCCTGCTCTCCTGATGGTTTCTTTTGCTGTGCAAAAAGCTTTTCAGTTTGATGAGGTCCTACTTGTGTATCTTATCTTTTATGGCATACGCTTTGGGGAGTTTGATCAAGAATTGGCTGCCTACTCCAATGTGCATAAGAGAGTTTTTCTTCTAGGATTCTTATAGTTTGAGGTTTTATGTTTAGGTCTTTCATCCATTTAGAGTTGATTTTTGTGCATGATGATAGGTAGGAGTCCTGTTTCATTCTTCTGCATGTGGTCAACCACTTTTCCCATCATCATTTGCTAAATAAGGTCTCCTCTCCCCAGTGGTTATTATTGATAGCTTTGTCGAAGATTAATTGGTTGAGAGATCAAGTTTTTACTTCTGGAATCTCTAGCCTATACCATTGGTCTATATGCCTGTTCTTGTACCAGTACCAGGCTGTTTTTATTATTGTAGTCTTATAGTAAAGCTAAAAGTCTGGAAGTGTGATAACTTCCTTGTTTCTTTTGCTGAGGATTGTTTTGGCTGTTTGTGCTCTTTTTTGTTTCTGTATGAGTTTCTGTACTGTTTTTTCCAGGTCTGAGAAGAATGAAGTTGATAATTTGATGGGTATTGCATTTAGTCTGTAAACTGTCTTGAATAGGATGGACATCTTGACACTACTGATTCTTCCAGTCCATGAGCATGTGATGTTATTCCATTCATTTGTGTCATCTTTGATTTATTTGATCAGTGTTTTGTAGTTCTCGTTATAAAGGTCCTTCACTTCTCTGGTTTGGTAGATGCCAAGGTATTTCATTTTTTTGTGTGTGACCATTGTGAATGGGATTGTGCTTTTTATGTGATTTTCTGCCTGTTTGGTGCTAATGTATAGAAATGCAGCTATCTTTTGTACATTGATTTTGTACCCTGAAACTTTACCAAAGTCATTTATCGTGTAGGGAGGCTTTTGATGGACTCTCTTGGGTTTTCAAAGTATAAGATCATATCGTTGGCAAAGAGGGATAGCTTAACTTCCTCTTTTCCTATTTGAATACTCATGGTTTTCTTTTCTTGCCTCATTGCTTTGGCTGTGACTTCCAGCACTATGTTGAACAGGAGGAGTGAGAGTGGGCAACCTTGTCTTGTTCCCATTTTCAGGAGGAATGCTTCCAGCTTATGTCCTTTGAGCAAAATGTTGGCTATGGGTCTATCATAAATGGCACTTACTGTTTTGAGGAATATTCCTTCTATGCCTAGGTGTTCAAAGGTTTTTATCAAGAAGGGATGCTGGATTTTGTTGAAAGCTTTTTCTGCATGTGGTTCTTGTTTTTACATCTGTTAATGTAAAATATTGAGGCAGGGTCTCACTCTGTCACCCAGGCTGGAGTGCAGTGATGCAAAAATAGCTCATTGCAGCCTCAAATTCCTGGGCTCAGGAGATCCAAGTAGCTAAGACTTGCTCGACTTTTTGTTTGTTTGTTTTTGGTTTTGGTTTTTTTGAGTCTCACTCCTTTGCCCAGGCTGGAGTGCAGTGGACGCATACTCATGGCCACCCCAGTGTCGACCTTCTGGGTTCCATCAATCCTTGTGCCTCAACCTTCCGAGTAGCTGGAACTACAGATACGTGCTACCACGCCCGGCTATTTTTTATTTTATTTTAGAGATGAGGTCTCACCAAGTTGCTTGGACTGGTCTCGAACCCATGGGCTCAGGTAGTCCACTTGCCTCAGCCTCCCAAAGTGCTGGGATTACAGGCTGAGCCACCGAGCCCAGCCTTTTTTTTTTTTTTTTTTAATGTAAAGACAAGCTGGGCTATGTTGCCCAGGCTGATCTAGAACTCCTGGGCTCAAATGATCTTCCCATCTCAGCTTCCCAAAGCACTGGAATTATGGACATGAGCCACTGTACCCAGCCTATTTCCACAGTCTTAATTTGTCTTTTGACCACGGCTTTGTGCAGAATAAATTATTTTGTAGACTCTCTCTCTCAATTTAGGTTTGTCTGTTTTCCTTGTGATTTGATTCAGATGATACGTTTTTGGCAGGAATATAACGTAGGCGGAGTTATATCCTGATAAGTTACGTGATGATTTTTTCATGTTCTTCTTCCATTCTTCCATCCCCCATACCCTCTGTCTCCCCAAATTTTCTTTAAATCTCTTTTTACTCGGTAAACCTTTCCTGAGCTCCCATCTGCCTCAGGTTGTGTTGTTAGGCCTCAGGCATACTAGGTGACCAAGGTAGGTACTGTCTGAGGGGACCAGCAGAGAAGGCCCAGTGGCAGATGGAAGTATGGCAGCAGGTAGGTGGTAAGGCCTGTACAGGGTCCAGATAGCCAGAACTCAGAGAATGAGGAGGCAGTGGTTTCAGATGCGGTCGAGAGGTTGCCAGGGTTTCACATGGTATGCCAGGGAGTTGAACTCCGTGGGAAAGAGCCCTGAGCTCTGCTAGAATGTCTGCTATGGGCATGCATGGAGGAACATCCATGTGTACGTCAGAATTCATACTTCTAGAACTGGTGTGAAATGCCAAGGTTTGGGAGCTTCAGGGAAGATCACACAGAGCAGAGGGAGTGGCCTTTGCTGAGTCTGGGACAATTTAGCTGCAGTTCTAGAATCAAAGACTCCTTCTCCAAGGACTGGATAGCTCAGTCACATTGCCCTTCTAAGAGGCCAAGTGGCCTTCCAGGAACCCAGACCCATCCCCTCCATTCACAGGGTTGACCTTGCTGGCCTCGGCCAGTCGGGATCGACTGATCCACGTGCTGAATGTGGAGAAGAACTACAACCTGGAGCAGACCCTGGATGACCACTCCTCCTCCATTACTGCCATCAAGTTTGCTGGTAAGCCCCTTCCTGCTTCCTGCATCTCTCTCTCTTTCTCTCCCTCTCCCTCCCCCTGTCCCTGTCCCTCTCCTTCTCTCTTCTTTCTCTGACCCTGTCCCTCTCTCTCTGCCTCTCTTTGTCCCTGTCCCTCTCCCTGTCCGTCTTCTTCGCCTTCTCCCTTCCCCTCCCCCTCCCCCCATTCCTTTCTCTTGGTAAGCAGAATCTTGATTGCCTGGAAAGAGATTTTCCCTCTTCCTATGGGTTTTTTTTTTTTTTTTTTTTTGAGTCAGAGTCTCACTCTGTTGCCCAGGCTGGAGTGCAGTGGCACGCTCACAGCCACTGCAGCCTCGACCTGCTGGGCTCAGGTGATCCTTCAGCCTCAGGATTCTAAGTAGATGGAACTACAGACATGAGCTTCCATGACCGGCTTATTTTTTGATTTATTATAGAGACAAGGTCTCACCAAGTTGCCCAGGCTGGTCTCGAAGCCCTGGGCTCAGGCAAATCCTCTCGCCTTGGCCTCCCAAAGTGCTGGAATTACAGGATTGAGCCACTGCACCCAGCCTTCCTGTGGATTTTAGCAGAAATTGGGGACTGACTTTTCTTGTCCTGACTTGAGGCACCTGTCCTTCTCAGAAACAGTTGTTGGTGCCAGGGCTTTGGGGTATTCTGTTGGCTAGGTCTGACTGTTGTGTCCACTTCTCCACCTGCCACTTCCCTGATCTAGTAGGGCTGGCATTAGGAGAGTGATGGTCCCCAAAAGGAAATTAGGGTGTCGATCCTGTGAGAGGGCAGAATAAGCATTGGCAACATTGGCAAATAATTAGATGATATCAAGGATTACTGGAGGCTACTTCTGGCCAGGCAGAGATCCTTATAACATGTGAGCTGGACATGGACTCTTCCTAGCATTTTTTTTTTTTTTGAGTTGGAGTCTCACTCTGTTGCCCAGACTGGAGTGCAGTGGCACGTTCCCGGCCACCGCAGCCTCAACCGCTAGATTCTGGCGATCCTTCCCCCTCAACCTTCCAAGTAGCCGGAACTACAGGCATGTGCTACCACACCGGGCTAATTTTTTTTTTAAATGTATTGTAGAGGCAAGGTCTCGCCATCTCCCCAGCATTTTACAGCCAGAGCCATTTTACAGCCAGTAGGTACAGAGCCAAGGATCTTGCCTGAGACTGGCCTTCTCCAAAGCCTACATGCAACCGGAAAAATTGAAGGGATTCCTGCAAGACTGAAATGATTCAGTATAAAGACTCCTGGCTCTAGGGATCCCAAGGGGAGGGGAGGCAGGAACTGTGGGGGTTTAATAGATCAAAACCCAAAACACGTTCCAGCTACATTCAGGAAGTTTCTATTCATGGAGAGAATACCATTGACTCTAAGTTCCTGACTATGTACAGTTTTTTACATATAATCTTGTGAATGAAAATTCATTCATGCCCCTTGGTCTTCCTTGCTTTCTGTCCTACCTCTGTAGCTGAGATGGTAGGGAGCTGGGCAGAGGCAAGTTAATGTTTGATCGACTTTGAAGACCTAACAAAAGCTAGTCAGCTAAAACTTGTCAGACACCTTTAAAAACTGTTCAAATCATCCCCTTCTATGGGATATAGGTAGTTAAAATAAATCAATAAATCTAACAGTTCGGGCCAGGCTTGGTGGCTCAGCCTATAGTCCTGCGCATTGGGAGGCCAAGGTAAGTGAATTGCCTGAGGCCGCGGGTTCGAGACCCACCTGGGCAACTTGGCAAGACTTCATCTCTACAATAAATCAAAAAAAATTAACCGGGCATGGTAGTGCATGCCTGTAGTTCCAGCTACTCGGAAGGCTGAGGCGGAAGGATAGCCGGAACCCAGCAGGTCGAGGTTGCAGTGGCTGGGAGCGGCTATTGCACTCCAGTCTGGGTGACAAGAGTGAGACTCCAACTCAAAACAAAAAAACAAAAAACTAACAGTTCAGCTAGCAGTGACCTTACCTTTAATGTGTGCTCTCAATTCAGGAGAGATAGTGACTGGCCTAGGAGTTGGTCCTTAAGTCCACCTTCTGAAGCACACAAATATCAGAGCCCCTCAGCCAGTCTAAGCGGGTGTAGATCCTAAGCTGGGCCCCTGGGTGCCCTGCTCTGACTAGGCTGACTCACCCAGGAGCTGTGCTCAAAGCATTAATCACTTAGAATAAACTAGGCACTGGCAACATTGGCAGACATCTGACTGGTCACATCAGTCAGAACCTGTCTGAAGCTACCCTGCTAAAAGATTTGGTCTTTTAATCCTTTTCTGTAAAATATATATCCAAATAAGTGAATACAGTATCTGTATAAAGTTTACAGAATATTACAGTGAACATCCACATCAAAGTTTGCAGTTGGTCAGTGTGAACTAGGCCAGACACACCCATTGTTCATAGCAGAAACGATTTGTGGTCCTGATGCTATTAAATATAGTTCTTGGATTCACCACACTCAGGTTAAGAAGCAGAACATTACCTGTAGCTTGCAGGCCTTCTCTAGGTCACCCTAGGTCATACTCCCTCTCCTACGTAGGGCTCACTGCCTCCTGTAAGCCGGTGACTCCTGCTTGAGTAACATCTAATTCTTGTATGCCAAGCCCAGACTCTTTTTTTTTTTTTTAAGTTAGAGTCTTACTCCATCACCCAGGCTGGAGTGCAGTGGCACACTCACAGCCACCACAGCTTCAACCTGCTGGGCTTAGGTAATCCTTCCACCTTAGCTTTCCAAGTAGCTGGAACCACAGGCGTACACCACCACACCCAGCTAATTTTTTTCTTTATTTATCATAGACACAAGGTCTCACCAAGTTGCTCAGGCTGGTCTTGAATTCCTGGACTCAGGCAATCCTCTTTCCTTAGCCTCCCAAAGTGCTGAGATTACAGGCGTGAGCCACTGCACCCAGTCTAAGCCTGGGCTTTTGAATGCCCTGTTATGAAGGGGCAGCATCTGATGTACCAAGACTGTAAGGGCTTTATATTTATTCTGTCTTTTCATCCTCACAACTTGTGTTCTATAAAGAAATGAGAATAATATAAGCAAGCATGCTTTATAGTACTTACCTTAGACAGCCCTGTTCCAAGGCTTCACACAGCTCCACAGGGAATGGGCCATTATTAAGCCCATTGTATGGATAAGGGTTCAGAGGGGAAGAGGCACAGGTTCAGAGCACAGTGTTTAACAGCTTTGGTTCTGGGTTCATCTGGCCCTGCTCTCTCTCTGCACCTTGGGAAAAGGACTCTGTGACTCTGAACCCCTGTGTTCACGTTTGTGCAGTGGAGTGGATGCTGAGCATTCAAGAAGATCAGGCCAATGCACTGGGCCTGGCCCAAGGTTCCTGTGGATGTTCTGACTGTTCTTGATGGCATGAGCTTCCCAGCCTGCTCCACTTGACCCTGCCGCAATCTCTGCTGCTTAGGTCACCCATCAAAATCCCACATTGGAGATGGCATCCTTTCTGTGTCCCTGGCCTTTGTTTCCTTTGCTCTGCAGAGGACTACCTTGCCCACAGCTCCATCTGTGCCCCTCTCACACACAGTTCCCATCTTACAGAGTCCCAGTGGCCCTAGCACCTACCACACCCAATCCAGGAAGCCCTCTTTGCTCCCAGAAAAGCTCATAGATTGCCCTTGTGGTGGAGTTTCCTAGCTAGGGTCCCTTTGTGGCCCAGCCCTGCCTAACACACCACCTCCTCCTTCCCCAGGCAACAGAGATATCCAGATGATCAGCTGTGGAGCCGACAAGAGCATCTACTTTCGCAGTGCTCAGCAGGCAGGGTGGCATTGTCACCTTGGGGGCTGGGGCGGGGGACCTATCGGGGTGTCCTCTGAAAGTCCTGCCTGCCTTACCAGGGCTTGGATGGACTGCATTTTGTTCGTACCCACCACGTAGCAGAGAAAACCACCTTGTATGACATGGACATCGACATCACCCAGAAGTACGTGGCCGTGGCCTGCCAGGACCGCAATGTGAGGTGAGGAGCGTCCCAGCCCTTGGTTGGCCTTGCCTGGGCTCTTTCTGAACGGGCCTGTATGGAACCTCGCCTGGTCAGTCTTCTCCTAGACTTTCTGCTTTCCTCCCTCTGCTCATTTGGTTCCTGAGAAGCCAGGAGGGGTCGAGGGACCCAGTGGGCATCTCTTAGAAGCTGAATTGTCCCAGGCCTAGCTTTCAGACCTGCAGAGGGCCTCCTTCTGGCTCTCCCAGAATGTGTGTGAGGTTGCTGATGTGGCTCAGAGATTCATTCATTCACTCACGTTCCCTGAGCACCTAGTTGGGCTAGACATTGCTGGGGTCACAGCAGTAGCCAAGGCAGCCCCGGGCCCTCCTTCATGGAGCTCACAGTCCAATGGAGGGGACATGACCACCTCACCAGAAAGTGACAGCTCAGAGTGGTCAGAGCTGGGATGGAGGTAGCTCAGGGGGCTTATGGGGGCCCTGGGGAGACACCTGACCCCACCTCGGGATCAAGCAGGACTTCCTGGAGGAAGGGACAGCTGAGCCGAGCCTCGGCCTAAGGATGTGGAGGAGTAAGCCAGGGGGCAGAGAGTGTGCAGGGCAGGCAGGTGCAGAAAGGTCTTTGCCTCCTTTGTGGACTCATTCCAGTTGGGCACGAGGCGCTAACCTTGCTGTGTGCTGGGGAGAGACACATTCTTCAGTAGGCGCCCAGTACATAATCTCCCTAACCTCAGCTAGAGACAGGGCTTTAGTCCAGGCATCAGATGGGGACAAGAAAAAGCAGGGCCCTTCCAAGAGGAAAGAATGCAGCAGGGGCCGGAGAGTAAGAGGGACAGGATGGCTGGCCGCGCTGGCCACGTATGTCCCCGTCTCCCCAGAGTCTACAACACTGTGAACGGGAAGCAGAAGAAGTGCTACAAGGGCTCCCAGGGTGACGAAGGGTCTCTGCTAAAGGTGAGTACTGGGGCCCCAGGGCAAAAAGCACACAGCGCTGTCATCTGGGATCCGTGCCTTTGGTGCTTCATCAGAGCATCACATGCACTTACCCAGGCCAGACCAGGGATGCTCGGGAAGGGGTGTGGACAGGGTGGCCCTGCATGCTTTACCTTTACGTACAGAGCCCTTCCCCAAGTGGGGTGTTTAAGTGGACTCCGTTTTGAGTAGCAACAGGGGGTGGTGAGAAGGGTCAGCGAGGCATGGGTTGTCCCCTGCCAGACGTGTCACTCGGGACAAAATGAAGGCCTTCTCACACACTCTGGCCTAGAAGAGTTGTGAGCTCAGGCTCCAGGGTCAGGCCTTAGCTCTGCCTCTAGCTGACTGTGTTACCTTGGACAAGCGCCATCTCTTGAGCCTGTTTTCATCATCTATAAAATGCACAAAAAGATAGTTTCTCTCTTAGGGTCCTTCTGTGGAGGAATTAAGTTTGTGCACGTACAGTGCTTAGTATGGTGCCTGGCTACCATTATTACTGCTCTGGTGGTGGTTAATTTTTTCTCCCATGAAATGGGAGCGGGAGTTCCTGCCCTACCAGGATGTGTGTCATGAAGGTCGCCTGAGATGATTCCGTGTGCCAGATGTCCAGCACAGGCGTGGGGTGGCAGTCAGTGTAGGCTGGTGTGCTTGGCCCCGGCCTGGGGAAGAAGTAGGCAGCCTGAGTGACATGCAAGTCCCTTTCCTGGCAGGTCCACGTGGACCCCTCTGGTACCTTCCTGGCCACAAGCTGCTCTGACAAAAGCATCTCAGTGATTGACTTTTACTCGGGCGAGTGCATTGCCAAGATGTTTGGCCATTCAGGTAGGTGCACCTCGCTGCTTGAGACACCTCCCCACCTGCCCTGAGAGCCTCTGACTCAGAAGGCCAGGGCAGCTTCTCTGCTTTGTTTACAGAAATCATCACTGGCATGAAGTTCACCTATGACTGTCGTCACTTGATCACAGTATCCGGAGACAGGTGTGACAGGCCTGGAGGCCGCCCCTGGCTGAGCCTCCCTCTGGAAGTGGGTGGGACATGTACTGTCAGGAGAGTGGGGGCTCAGCACTGCTTAGAGCCCACCCACGTAGAGTGCTTCTGAGCTTCCCATAACTCCCACCTTGAACTGTGTGCACCTTGGTGTCACACCCAGCTCTGAGTTCAAGTCCCAGTTCTGTCACTTTTTTTTAGATTGGAAAATATAGTTTATTTAAAAAGTAAATGAGAGATTCACCTCCCTAAGGTAGGGAAGGGGGCTAAAGCTTAGGAAAACAATGGTGGCCATAGCTCAAAGAGCCACATGGCCTGGCCAGTGCTTTACAGAAACAGTGGCCTCTATCCCCTTTTTTTTTGATCACCTGAGCAGTTCATTTCCCTTCTCTGAGCCTCAGTTTTCTCCTCTATAAAAGAGAGATGACACCATCTACCTTGAAAACTGTGTGATAGCTGGGTGGACTAGCTCATGCCTGTAATCCCAGCACTTTGGGAGGCTGAGGCAAGAGGATTGCCTGAGTCTAGGGGTTCAAGACCAGGCTGGGCAACTTGGTGAGACCGCGTCTCTACAATAAATCAAAAAATTAGCCTGGCATGGTAGCATGCGCTTGTAGTTCCAGCTTCTTGGAAGGCTGAGGCAGAAGGATCACCTGAGACCAGCCAGTCGAGACTGCGGCAGCCATGAGTGTGCCACTGCATTCTAGTCTGGGTGACAGAATGAGACTCCTACTAAAAAAAAAAAAAAAAAAAAACAATAAACAAAAAACTGTGTGATGATTTGAATGAGATGATATATATAAACTCTTTAGCTTGTGGTTGATGCCCAAGGTTGATGCCCTTCCGTCACTCCCTTTAGTTTACTCCAATTCTTCCTCATAGCCCCCTTCCTCAGATCTGGAGGCCTCTAGAGCAGGCCTAGTTTGCTAGGATGCCCTGGACCTTGGCCCAGGGTGTAGATCTGACAAAGTTCAAAATCCCTGCACTAAGTTGATGGGGTGAGTTTTCCAGCAGACTGTGGGGAATGGGGTCTTAGCTGTGGTGACCTGGGTGGCTTCAGGATCAGATGTGGTAGGGGCTACCCATGTTCACTCTTCCTCCCTCTCCCCATTTCTCTTTGGCCTCTGCAGCTGTGTGTTCATCTGGCACCTGGGCCCCGAGATCACCAACTGCATGAAGCAGCACCTGCTAGAGATCGACCACCGGGAGCAGCAGCAACAGCAGCAGCACACAAAGGAGAGAAAGTGGAGCAGCCACCCCAGGTTCTGGTGGCCCCTGCCCATCATCTACCACAGAGATATCTCCCTGTTCTGGACCCCATGAAGATTGACGCTGGGGACATAGCCATAGCCAAGACAGCCCTAGGCCTGCCCTTAGTGAACTTGCAGCCTGATGGGTGAAATAGACTTAGAATACAGTTATAAGCCAGGCACAGTGGCTCATGCCTATATAATTCCAGCACTTTGGGAGGCCAAGGTGAGAGGATTGCCTGAGCCCGCGGGTTCAAGACCAGCCTGGGCAACTTTGCAAGACCTTATCTCTACAATAAATCAAAAAACAAATTAGCCGGGCATGGTGGTGTGTGCCTGTGGTTCCAGCTACTTGAAGGCTCAGGTAGAAGGATCACCTGGCCAGGCTCGGTGGCTCAGCCTGTAATCCCGCGCCTTGGGAGGCTGAGGTGAGTGGATTGTCTGCGCCCACGGGTTCGAGACGTGCCTGGGCAACTTGGCAAGACCTCATCTCTACAATAAATCAAAAAATTAGCCGGGTGTGGTAGCGCATGCCTGTAATTCCAGCTATTTGGAAAGCTGAGGCAGAAGGGTTGCCAGAGCCCAGCAGGTCAAGGCTGCGGTGACCGGGAGCAACCACTGCGCTCCAGACTGGGCGACAGAGTGAGACTCCAACTCAAATAAAGAATACAGTGTCAGCCTGTAATCCCGCGCCTTTGGGAGGCTGAGGTGTGTGGATTCCTGAGCCCGCGGGTTCAAGACCTGCCTGGGCAACTTGGTGAGACCTCATCTCTACAATAAATCAAAAATTAGCTGGGTGTGGTAGCGCGTGCCTGTAGTTCCAGCTCCTTGGAAGGCTGAGGCGGGAGCATCTCCGGAGCCCAGCAGGTCGAGGCTGCGATGGCCGGGAGCAGCCACTGCACTCCAGTCTGGGCGACAAAGTGAGACTCCAACTCCAAAAAAAAAGAATACAGTGACACATATGAGAAGGGTTTTGAAGTGGAAAAGCAAAGTGTGTGGCGAGCCTCTGAGCACTGTGATGGTGGAATTCCCAGGGAATGTGGAGAGCAGGGGAGACCCCTGACTCTGCCAGCAGCGAGGAGGCGGGTAGCCAGGGCAGGGTTAATGGGGGACAGGGTGCAGTGGGGCTGAGGTGTCCTCTCGCACCTCATGAAAGCTCTTCCTTCGCTTATTTCTTAGTCTTCTAAACATGGGTCTCTGATGTCTTATGCAGCAAAAGCAGTTTTATTTGGAGTGAACTCATGTTCCAGTTTTGATTTGAGGTTTTGGTGTGGGGGCACTCATACTAAGTGGGCGGTTTTTAGTTTTTCCGCCCTCCGGCCTCTGGATCTGTCCCTGTCTGTGCCTCTCCTTCTTGAGGCCTTGCCATAGCCTGCAGGTAGGCTTCCAGGGCCCCACGGAGCAGGCCATGACATGGACCACCTTCCCGAGCTGGTACTGGAGTTGTTACAGAACTAGACGCCAAGGGAATAGGCAGCTTCCTTTGGCTCTTGGTTTTGAGGTCGCACCCCACCCCGGGGGGTCCTGGCTTAGTGCCAGCCTTATGCCTAGCATGTTTTAGTTTCCTGTACTCTGAAGGAGCCAAAATCTCATTGCCATCACCTGAAGGAACCCCAGCAGCCCAGGACTACAGCCCCACTTGCTGTGGCCCCTGGAGAGTTTGTCTTGTTTTTGAGTCTAGCCTTTGTTCTATCTTTTTTTTTTTTTTTTTTTTTTT